CGCACTTTTTACATTTTATCTGGTAAAACAAAACAATAAAAGCTTCTTATTGTTTTCTTTCCACTTCTCATCATCTCTGGTGTGCTTTGTCTAACACAAAAAATGGTTGAAGCACAATGAAGTTTGCAGTGGTGAGGAATTTAAACTGGAACAGAGGCAGCATATTTAACAGGAGCTTGTTCCACAAAGTTGGACCTCCTCTGGTTGCAGCAATGTTGTCCTTATTTCTCTGTTGGATTTAATCCTCACAACTCTTCTTCCTTCTTCACTGCAGAACGTCGGCTCTGTGAGGCAGCTGCTATACGACTTCCCCTGGACCAATGTGGGCAAACTGGTTTTTGTGGTGAGTGGAATGAGGGATAGCAGCAGGAAGTTCAGCGACAAATTCACAGATTTAGGTTTTCTTCTTAAACTAACCCCAGCACTGATTAAAAAAAAAAAAAACTGCATCCGCTGAGCTCATTGCAATCCGATTTTGAAGCAAAGCTCTTGCTAAGGGTTGGGAAAAATTTTACGCAAGACTTTGTTTCCCCCAAAACTGTTGCTTTATCCTAGTCTGCAAGTCCTCTGGAACTAATCAGGGATCTTTCAAAGACTTTCCTCACACACACGCAGACACACCCAGAGCTCCGTATACTACATGCATATTCTATGATCAACAGTTTCTGCCTCTTGCCTCATTGATTTTTTTTTATTTTCCCTGTGCCTTTACTTAAATCTCCTCATCTCTGCTCTGAGTCAGCTCGTCGTTTAGCTGAGAGCAGCATAGGTTTAGTGTTATCAAAGAGAGCCAGAGAAGCTCACTGTATATCTGTTTCCCTCTGAGGACCTCAGCGCTCCTGCCAGCTCGCTGTTAATCACCATCCACAGAGGTTCACACCGTTTATTCACACTGCTGCAAAAAGATGCTGTTTAATTTCAAATGTGGGGAAATTAAAAGCCTGCAAGGTATCGTTTTTTTTCTTGTTTTTTTTAATGGATCCATGACTGTCTTTGAGATGTTTTTGCTTTTGTGATGTTCTAAATACAGCCATCCTGTTTTCCTCCGTATTTTGTTGTTTTGATGGTTTCTCCTGGTCGCCTGTCTGGAGCGGCGTGAAAGTAGGCAGTGGCGTGGCTTCACTGTGGACCCAAATGGTTTCTAGCCACCCCGTCCCATCCTTCTCCAGAATAGCAAGCTCTCAGCTTCACCCCACCCACCAGTTATGTCATCCAGCAGCTACCGCCGTCAGCGGGTGGGGCTGGGAGGAGGGGGAGGAGAGGGACAGAGAGTTCAATGAAGACCAGATGTTGTGATGGTTTGAGGGAAGGATTCTGGATTCCAGTCTTTGGGTTTTAAAATGAACTTTGGTGTCAAACCTTGCAGGAAGGTTTCTGGTTTATTTCCCTGACAGCATCTTATGAGTTCAGTTACTTTCCTCTGAAAACAAGCACAAAGTCTTAACCTGATAATTAACAGGGTTGGGTTTAACCTTGTAATGAGGCTTGGATATCTGGCAGACTTGTCTTCATGTCTTAATCACCACTGATCTGTTCATTCATGCAGAGACAAACTAGTTCATAACTGGATCATATATATGGTGTTTATTGTAGGGATGGAACGGTTTATGAAAACCGTCCGAATCGTTCGGTTCGACTGTCTCGGTTCGGTTCGCGTGTGTTTCGTTCGGTTCATGCGCTGCTCCTTTTTCTCATAGGC